TCGACCGATTCATATCGCGGTTCATCCGATACCTTCAGTATCGGAAAGAACAGTGAATTTGTATTTCCAAGAGTTTAGATAAAAATAATAAAAGAATAATATTCAGTATTCGTTTCGCGAGTATTTATTCCCAAATAACCCGGACCCAACCACTCGGGACTCTAACAGCGGAATGACCCATATATATTCCATATATATATTATTCCTCTCCTTTAAGTATCCTCACTAATTAAATTATCTTTACGATTAAAGGATCATACGTCGAATTGGCGCAATCGGTTGAGTGGTAGTTGGAAAAATCATTTTTTTATGAGAATTAACTTTACCAACAGGTTAAATATATCTTTCTTAACACTCTGGCGAATGCCAGTACTTGTTGCAGGGACAAGATATAAAGTCATATAGTGAAATCATTCAAAAAATCGAATTTTATATCTCAAATAATCTCGGAAATATTCATTGTTTGTCGGTAACAATTCGATTGTTCTCAATAGACGGATAAACACTTCTAACTCTCATATTTTTTCTATCAGAATTCTGACGGATCCATTCGGAAGCCAACTACCAATGGAATTGGTAAAAATTGAATGATCGAAAGAAAAAATTAGGAAAAAGAATTATCAACCCATGGTTTCTGTCAAATGGGAATTCTACCGTGCTTGTTTTGTATGGAAAAATACCATAACGACGGAGCAAGGCTCAGTGAGGCTCAGTGCGGGCGCAACGTGAGAGTAGCTGGCTGAAGGGCGATCGAACTTGAATATTCGCGCGCTTGTAGCATTGGATCTATCACTCCAATCAAAAAAATTGTTAATACCTTTTTCGTAGAAAATTTCGTGGAGAATCTTTTTGTATTCCGTATTGTTTCACAAAAAAGCGATATTTTGGGAGATATTTACGAAAAACGTTAAAATGACCCCTTTTGTTTATTTAAACAATAGGTTTCGGGGCGACTAGGAGTTTAGGTTTTTAGTATTTCCGAGTTGACATCCTGAAGAAGCGATAGAAACAAAAAAACTTTCAATACATATTATTTCCACGGTCGACTGATTTTGAGCCTCTGACGCCCGGACTATGTGGGATAATACCACTCGCCTTCGGCTCGTGCTATAAACCTCCCACATGCCCAAAATTACTTTTCTGTACTTGTTACGAAATGTATTATTCCTGACTTTTTTTATCACACAGTCAATATAACACCAATCATCAAAAACTTTAATTTAAATGATTACAATGCTTCCATTCGAGGAGGAGAAAATAATTTTTTTTGTTTGAATTATCGTCGAGAATTCTCGCCTCTCATGATATTTCTCTCGTCTCGTCTTGATTTGGCGATAACTATGAAATTGGTCTCTCGTCTCGTATCGTCTCATACTTCTCTCGTATCGTCTGGTTTCTCTCGTCTATCGCGGCAACACTAATCTGAATTGTGATTTATGACATCGGAGTTGCGACATTCAATAGTGACTTGTGACATTCAAGTTGTAACTTTTGACATCTTACCCTCTCGGGTCCCTGTTACTATGTTTTTATAGTAACCGTTACTAGGTTAATTCTCTCCGTGCATTCAAATTATGACTTGTGACATCGAAGTTGTCACTGGTGACATCCAAGTTGTGACTTGTGACATCGGAGTTGTGACTTAAGACATCGGAATTGTGACTTGTGACATCTTAATTGTAATCTGTGACATCGGATTGTGACTTGTGCACATAAGTTGTGACTTGTGACATCCAAGTTGCGACTAGTGACATTCAAGTTGTGACGTGTGACATCTTAGTTGCGACTTGTGACTTGTGACATCCAAGTTGTATTTTGTGACATCACGAGTCACAATTCCAATGTCACAAGTCGCAACCGTGATATCGCAAGTGACCTCTTCGGTGTCACAAGGGACAATTACTTCGATGTCACAAATCACACCTCAGATGTTACAAATCATACCTAAAATCTTACAAGTCACAACGAAGATGTCACAAGTCTCAATTAGTGGTACACATCACAACTGAGATGTCACAAGTCTCAATTGCATGTCACACGTCACAACTAAGATGTCACAAGCTACAACTGAGATTTCACAAGTTACAACGTGGATGTCACAATTCCGATGTCACTAATCACAACTCCGATGTCACAGGTCACATCTCCGATGTCACAGATTGCGAGTACTGGTCGGAGGCGAATTGAAAAACTTCAAAACGTTATAAAATGGAATCGGCACTATAAATTCATCTGAATTTTTTATATGTTATAGAGGAAAATTTGATGAATCAGAATCTATAAAAAAGTGACCCTTGCCGAGTTCAGAAGTGCCTAACTGTTTTTATAAAATCCAGACGCGAAAATAAATACAGGAAATATAAATGAATGACCTTTAAATTTTTGAAAAACTCCTCCTCCAGGCCATTTTACGGTTATCTGTAAATTTATTATCCAATGACTGACGACAAGAATTTACTCATGAAAATCATTTTTTCAACTTTTTCTGCCAACGTTTCGAGTGCAAAACGCCACTCCTCATCAGGCCAGTCTATTTATTTAAGCCTATAAACATATACAATCCCAATTACTAAACTAAGAACATTTCAATTATAAACTTCATGATCATCTCTGTGCTTTTTTACATGATAACGCAAGGAATTACCCAGTTGAAATTTCTTACCTAGTTCTCTCTAAATATGTTCATAATTTATCTGATCAGGAATCACCTGTAATTAATTCAAGCGGGAATAACCCTAAACTGTAACAATTCCATGTTATTTTTTACCCTACTGTGTCTATTTTTGATTCTTTAATTCATTGCTCATTTACTCACTATTGTCCATTTTCTAAAACCTCTACTCCATTCAATCATATTGCACAAAAAATTAGTTATATATTTATCATGATCTTAAAATATTTTAGAAGTCACCTTGATTAAAAATGTCAGTTGAACACAATTAAATACCCTGTCAAACCACTAATACAATTGCGATGGTCAGTTACATATAAAGGCTAATTTTCATTGACATTACGTATTTACCAATAAAATTGTGGGAGGTTAAAGTATCTAATTGAAATCTAATATGCCTGTTTTTAATTTAAACCGACATTCCACCACCACTAATTAATTATTCCTGTCTTCAAATTTAATGAGTGTGTCATAAACGTTGCCTGATTTCTTACTGTCATTTACAAAATTGACCATCCTATCATTATGTTTTTTAATATGAAACATTTCCAAAATATCTAACTTATCCTTCCCTTTTACAGAACCTAAAATGGAAGATTTTTTAACTTCCCGATCTGGGGAAGTTATTGTAATGACCCCGAAAATGAAATGTGGGAATTTCATGATATCTCCACGTTTCATGACTGCCAGTATCATTTTCACGCGTTTTTAGAGACATGTTCGTCTGTGTGTATGTGTGTGTATGTATGTGTGTGTGTGTGTTCGTATGTGAAGGAAATTTTGTTTTACGGTTTCTCTGGAACGGATGGTGCGATTTAAGTTTTTTTTTTTAAAGAAGGGTCTTGACGTAACTTAGGGCGGAAAGGAGTGTGACCTTGATGGCCTCAGCGGTTTCGTAGATATTTGGCTAAAACTAGTCGAAAAACGTCAAAAAATAACTTTTTCACATGAAATCAACGATTTCTCGCCATCAAACATTGCAATTTGTAATTTTTTTGATGAAGTCGATGCACCTCCATATACTATAGAAGTAAGTGAAATGTCCACGAAATCGTCTCAGCGGTTCCCGCGTATCAGTTCATAATACCACCAAAAGCATTACCGTGTTAAGTAGATTTGAGCTTGGGATTGATGTCTATTTGTTTGTAATAATTTATTGATTTAAACCACTATTTCATACAAAAAACGTTTCCTACAAAAATGTCAGTTAATAAATGTCGTGGGTGGATGCATAACGGGAGCGCATCGATGCTTACACGCAGTGGGATAAGTTTTATCTACAAATATCTCTATTTGAATTTGTAATATCAAAAGTGAAATTTTATGAGAGAAACCTATTTTGCCGAATTAATTGATGAAGATAATTGACTGTCAACGGCGCCAACATATTCATAAATAATAATTGAAAATTGTCTGCTGAATGCGACAATATATTGATAAAAAATAAGGAAAAAAGCCAAGGGCGAGACAAGTCAACGAATAGGTGATCGGGAAGTTATTGGTTCGACCAGTACTGGGTCACACCCACTCCAACCCACCCGTAATGGAAGCGAGCGACCAACATCCCAGTCGAAATGCAACTCACCCGCAATGTGAGCGAGCGAAGCGAGCGAACAACAACCCAATCCAATTTTTAAAATTAAAAGTATGTTTTTCATTTTTAACATGATCAGATAGTCCAGAACGATACAAATTAGGATTCCTCTAACTTCTTTGATGTTCTTTTAGTCTTTCCTGGAAAAACCTTTTAGTTTGGCACATGTATAATTTACTACAATTATTGCAGGGTATTTTGTCAACAATATCAGACCTTAAATTATTTAGCATCTCGTCCTTAGTAGAGCCAAATGCAGAACTCAATTTTCTACTCCCAGACGAAATTAAGTTAACATCAAATCTATTACTTTTCTATGTTCTTTTGCAAAAGGGACAACGATTGTCTTCTTAAAATTTATAGCATGCAGGTTATTAACGTCAAACTTTTTGTTATTACATATAATTTCAATTCTACTGTCAATTAATCCTGAAATGAACACTGCAGGGTAATCGTTAAAAATTAAAACTTTTTTAATTAAATTAATGTTTTGGCTCCAAAAACATCTGTCCCTTTTCGCACATTGTGATAGAAAATATTGTTTGCAACTCGTGCAGAAAGTGATTTTTGGCTTGTGGGATTACGGTGAGGTTTATGGCGAGTGTGATTACAACCTTCGCCTTCGGCTCGAGCTGTAAACCTCACACTTGCCAAAAACCTAACTCACCAGGAGGTTACGTAAAATATAATTCCATTATTATTCCTACACTAAAAAGATGGACGCTATACACTCACCTTAAGCAAAATACTGTGGAGCTCACACGGACACACGCCATTGTTTACACTGACAGACATACTAACGCGATAGGTACGATTTCTTCATATTACATTGTGGCGCTATCCGCTTCAACAGACAAATTTCAATATCTCGAAAACTATTAATGATAGAAACATGAGGCAAAAACCATTCTATTACCCATAAAATTATCCAACTTTTCTACACAGCATGTCTCGATAACTTCTCAATAGTTCTCGAAATATTTTAATCTAAAGCTAACTGTGGAGCCCATACGGACGCATTGTAAGGTTGGTTACGCTCATCTACAGACATACTAACGCGATGGTTACAGTTTTCTCAATTTTACTCCCTATATATATTCTCCCGTAGCGAGCCGTACGATGTTTACACATCAAAAAATGATTTTCATGAGTAAATTCATGCCGTCAGTCATTGGATAATAAATTTGCTGATAACCGTAAAACGGCCTGGAGGATGAGGAGTTTTTCAAATATTATGTACAACGATTGGAGAAAAAATGTTGATTCTGGAGCCCTAAAATTGATCGTTATATTTTTCTCTCAACACCGGACTGCGATTCTGCATAAAAATCTGTAGTCTGCATAACTTGGGACTTTCGGTCCTACACCTCGAAAGTATACCAAAGAATGACAGATAAATGAATTTTCAAGAAAAAAAATCTGCGATTTCGCCAATAGATCATGGTTTTGCTACACAGTAAGTATAAGCTCTAATGGAATACCCTATTAGTTCGCTGGTCGTTGTTTTCTAGACTCCGATACTGTGTTGTCGGTATTAAATGAAGTTTCTTCGATCCATGCAAAGTCGCCCCTCTTATTCCCTTCAAGTCCATCGTGCAATTCTACTTTATCCTCTTTATTCTAGAGCTCATAAAGGGCTTGGGGACAAGATGTTACGAGTTGAGTAACGGATGGTAAAAACTTTGTGACATTTTTTTTTCTCTTTATTCTAATTTATGACATCATTTGCATCGATCACAATGCCGTATACACTATTTTCTCTTATTGTAGATACTTCAGTATGGATCGGTATCCAATGGATGTAGATGAGGATTCACCATCAACATTCGGTCGATGTTCTTCATGGTCGGGTGTTTCTGTGGATCATCATCTTGATTTATCCGATGACAAGAGTAGTTTGGACGATTGGAGTGAATGTGATGATCATTCTGAGGAAGATGAACCAAGTTTTCGAGATCAACTTCGCGAGCTTTTCATAACAATTCGGTTAGAACAATCGAAAGGCACAGCCATTCTAAAGCTTCTCCGACAACACCCGTGTTTCTCATCCTTACCCGCAGATCATCGGACGCTAGTCAATACTCCACAGAATAAAATTCCATTGAAAACAGTGGAACGTGGCGAGTATATGCATTTGGGAGTGGAGAAAAGAATCGTTCATTTTCTCAACGAATTCAGCATTTCACCCATACCTGAATCATTAACAATTGATATCAGTACGGATGGTGCAAATTTAGATACTCATGGCTTTATAATACTTTGGCCGATCCAGATAAGAATTGTCAACATCCCTCACAGTACTCCAATAATTGTGGGTATCTACAAAGGCAAAAAAAAAGCCAGTGGATACACATTTATTCATGGAAGACTTCGTTAATGAAATCAACGAAATATTCGCCAAGGAAAGAATTGTTTTTGAGAATCAGAGGATCCCGCTGAAGTTGCGATGTTTTATAGCCGATGCTTCAGCTAGAGCGATGATTTTGAATCATTTATATCACACTGGCCACAACAGTTCTTCCAAATCCGACGAAGCAGGATTACCACGAACTGATGACGACTACAGAAATCGAGTTGACGAAGGACACCACCATGGGCCCAGTGCGATAGAAAGATTACCCATCGATCTGGTGAAACAGGTAACATTCGATTACATGCATCTTGCATTATTAGGCGCGGTGAAGAGGTAAACTTGGGCAACGATGAAAGGTGCACCGGACCTGTCAAAGGATGTTAAACTATCCGCTGCAGACATACACACTATCAATGCACGGCTTCTTGTAATCCGAAGCTTCTGTCCACGAGAATTCTCATGACCTCCAGGAAACATAATAAATTATGAGCGTATGAAGGCTACAGAATTTAGACAACTAATTCTATACACAGGTCCCGTCATTTATCATGGAATATACAAGAAAAATGTTTATGATCATTACCTATTGCACCACACCGCCTTGAGATGTTTAGTAGCACCAAAACCTTCATCGTATTATAGGATGTACACGAGAATTGCGTTGGAAGAATGGACAAGGGGCTCCACTGAGATTTACGGGTGCAGCTTCATGTCATACAACATACGAAACCAGCCACATCTTGTAGATGACGTTGATAATTTTGGTTGTTTAGACTCTTTTTCTGCTTTTCCATATGAGAATAATATGAGGATCTTTCGGAAATGGTGCAGGAAACCTCATGCACCACTACAACAAATTTATCGCAGGGTTGTTGAGAGCTCAAATGCGGATTATCACCAATTTCGGAAGACTTCTAACAATTCTTCCATTAAAGTCTCTCAGAAACATCAGAATGGCCCCTCTACCAATGTTGGCAGAACATCAGAATATTATTCAGTACAAATTACTTCGAACTGCGAACTTCACACTAGGTGTCAACACTCATGATGATTGTTGCATTGTAGATGACTCCTCAATTTGTATAGTGCGTAATATTTTCACTAGTGACAACGGTAGTGAGAAGAATTATCATCTAATCGTTAACAAATTTGATACTGTTCACTCCTGGTTCAATACTGGAATTGACTCCACTGAGGTGGGAAGTTTCAAATGTTCTCATTTGAATCCATTCTTGAGATGCATCAAATTGGACGAAATCACTGCTAAATGTTACCGTATGCCTTACTGGCCTGAACCTAGCAACTCTGAGTTCCCCCCCGTACAACCAGTAGATGATACCTTTATAATCACAGTCATGATGCACCAGAATTCATAGCATGGTTTATGTTGGCTAAAGAAAATAAATTCTCAGAGACGGTTTGGTTGTCTCCATCTCGTCAACGAATTGAGGCTCGCATTCAAGATGTCGAAGAGCAGTATGGGACAATTCTATCGCCTACACGTGTCAGTAACCCACAGAAATGTTACTTTTTTTCACATAAAACAGAAACGGAGTGAACTGTAGCATTTTTCGATATCACGCAAAAGACGCTTGAAAGAATATCCGGCACCATCGCCATTTTGTTTGATTTGAAAGAGGAAAAATGTTTTTCTACTCAACAACGCTGTAAAAAAATGATGTAAAAATTTTGAAATAATATAACTGATTTATGGCCTTTAACGATGTTCAGGAGGTGACGTAATATAGGAGGTGAGGCGGAGGGGAATCTATTGTTCTCGCGCAGTGATGCAATGCCTGGAATTGACATTCGATTCTCATCAATTAATTAATTCAATCATATTTAGACTCTCCTGTAGTCAAATAATATTTTTTTAGCACACTGTGTGTATAGCGATATTTTATGCACGCCCCGCGTGCGCAAATCCTCACTTCTCGCACATTGTGATAAAAATAGGGTTCGATACTCGCGGGAAAAATGTTTTTAGACTCGTGGGATTATATCACTCGCCTTCGGCTCGTGTCGTAAACCTCCCAAAACTCTTATCCCGCAATCGTATCGAAATATACTATTTTATCATTTCTCAATTTTTTTACAATATCGTACATGTACCGAATTATTTTTATGTGTAATTCTTATAATAAATAGAAAATAATTAATTTGTGCAGAAAAAGTACCAACGTCGGTCCGTCGCCGCTGTTTTTCTTTGAGCTGGTTGGCCTGCTACACTGTTTCTCACTTGTTACATTCTGACTTAGTTCCTTGAATTAGTTACTTGATTTGCTACACAAATGAGTTTTAAAGAAATTAACAAATAAATGCACAAGATATAAGGTGAACTTCAGATATTTTATATTCCATTTCAGCTTCGAACTTTCATAATAATAGTTACTTTGAATTTATATATCTTTATGGTCTTTAAAAACTAGTACTCGTTACAATATCGCATCTAGCAAAATCTTCTATATCTGAATAATTATTTCCGCTATGCTTATATAGAAATTTGTGCCATAAAAATAGGTATCGCGCCTATGGACAAGTAATTTTTACTACAGAAATTCTCTCCGGGCACAATTAATAACTTTTCAAGTCAAAAATTTAATCAAGATAAAATCTGTAGCGAAGTGGTAAAATGAGGTAAGTGTATTTTTCCTATTTTCGTAAAACTCGGATTATCTCATATCAGTAAGGACTGATTTTAGGAGAGAAAGTCACAAAACCATTTTTGTAGCTGATTATTTTTCCAACAAAGAATGTTATTTGATATTTTCTTCTAAAATCATTCCTTAGTGAGATAATACGAGTTTTAAGAAGATGTGGAGAATGCACTTACCTCGTTTTACCATTTTGCTACAGAAATATATTCGTTCCTTCTTCAGAAATCACTTTTCCAATGAAAGGGCAAATGAGAGGCCTCCTTCATCAACCAAGAGAAAATTTTGCGAATAATTCTGACGGCATGTTGTCGTCAAATTTTTGTAGATATTTTACCGATAATTTTAATGGCTCACTGTCATCCTATTTTTGCGGAAATTTTGCCGATAATTTTGACGACATGTTGTTGTCCTATTTGTGCGGAAATTCTGCCGATAATTTTGACTACATGTTGTCGTCCAATTTTTGCGGAAATTTTGCCGATAATTTTGACGACATGTCGTTCAATTTCTGCGGAATTTTTGCTGATAATTTTGACGACATGTTGTCGTTTAATATTTGCGGAAATTTTGCCGATAATTTACCGATTTGCTGTAATCCTATTTTTGCAAAAATTTTGCCGATAATTTTGGTGACGTGTTATCGTCCAATTTTTGCAGATATTTTGCCAATAAATTGGATGATACATTGATGGTAGATTTAACGAAAAAATTTGACGATGAACATGGTCATGAGCGTTCGTCATTTTGACGACAATTTCGCTGTTAA